TTAACCTATCTTACTTCCTAATAAACAGACCTACTATGCCTTAGAACCTAAGCCACCGTTACAAAGAGCTATATAACTATTATTACTCGTAGCTTTTTATATAGGTTAAATAGTAATTTAGAAAAGCGAAACGTAAATAAAAGGTAATTTAATATAACGTAATAGAGTATAAGTACCTAGATTAAATTTAATTAATTTATGCTATAATAGGTTTATTTAACTTTATTACGTTAAATAGCATTAAACCTATAGTATTTAAGAAGGCAAAAATTATAGCTCTTAAAGATAATAAGCGTTTAATGCTTTTAAAAGCTTATAAGCGGGTAAATAAAGTAGTTAAGGTAATTTTAGTAAAGAATTTACGTGAAAATATCATAAAATAGCTTTAATAGTAAAATTTAACTTCTTTTAATAATGTAAATAAGTAGGAAATAATAAAATTAATGGTTATAATAGTATTATTATTATTAAAAGAATAAAAAGGTGCTAATAGGTAATAAAATTACTAGTTAGCTTATTAATTTTTAATAATTATAATAATCTTATAGCTTTAAAATCACCCTAAATTATCGCTAAAGTTTAAATTAATCCACGTATCCTTTACTAGGCTAAAATCAAGTAAATTCTATATTATAGTATTTATTAGATTCTTCTTTATTTATTTTATCGTTTTTAATATATTAATTAATTAACCCGGCCCTATAGACTCCCTATAATTTAAAAGAGCCTTTTTAACTTCTTCTTAGCCTAGTACCTTTACCGCTATTATAATTATCACATGATTTTTAGTCTATAAGATAGTAAAAGCTAAATTTATTATCGCGATAAATTATAACATTAATTTATTACTTTTTCTCTTTATTATACCACTTTATACTAAATTCGCTGTAAATCTCGCTAGCGTTAATATTCTAATTAAGTTTAGGGTTAACGTTATAAGTGCTATAAAGGCGTTTTAATTATCCCGTTTATTAAGCTAATTATATTTTAAATTACTAGTAATAATAATAAAAGCGTTATTAAAGTTATTACTAGACTTATTAAATATAAGCCTAGGGCTTTTTAACCGTTATAACTTAAATTTTCTTTTTACCGCCTTTATAAAAGTAGCTTAATCGCTAGCTTTAATTATATTCTAGCTAGTAGAAAGGTCTTTTATAAATATTTTTAACTAGGTATTAAATGTAATATTATTATTAATTAATAATAGCTTTTAAATAACTTAATTTACGATTTATAAGGGCTCTTTTACCTTAATTAGCTTAGTATTATTAAGGCTTATTAAAAGTATCCCCGTTTATTTATTATATTTAATGTTAAATTAATTTATTACTTTAAGAAACACTTACTAGAAGTTCTAAAAGTTATTTTCCTTTTTATTTAATATAATATAATTCTAATTATATTTAGGGAATTATTCTTAAAGATCTAGAAGAAAGCTAATAAATATAGCCTTTTAAACGCCTTTCTTTAAGCTTTTTAATTAACCGTTAATTTAAGCCTTATATAAAAGTTATAAAAATCGCAGTTATTAGTTATTAATTTACCTATTATAGGTTATTTATAAGCTTAAACTCTCTTAGGTGTTATAAGAAGGTATTATAAGAAGCTAATCTTAAATAATAGGTTAAATATAGCGTAATTTAAGTGGTTTAATTATCTATAACCTTTAATATCACTAAAAAGCCTTTCTTAGCTTAAAAAGGCGGTGAAAATTTAACCCCCTTATATATAAAAGTAGAAAAGCCTAAAAAAATCACTATGAGATGGTATAAAGTAATATTCCCACTTTAAATTAGTGGAGCATGTACTAACTAGGGTCGAAAAGTTGACCTCAATTATTTAACCCCAATTCCGGGAATCACACCCTAAAAATGGCCATCTAAAACTTTCCGTTTTCTCCGATGCTGTAAAAACAGTGTACTATGTCGGACGTATGTCGGGACAATGTCTGCTGGCCACAGATATCCTTATGGCACCAAGGAGATGAAACTACGCAGTCTAGATAAAGAGTGGGAAAATTTCTAGAATCAAGAAGCCATCGACCATAATAATATGCTGGAAAGTCAATAAGCTTGTCTACATTTGGAAAACTGCAAACTGGAGGCTAGGCGAGGACTTATACGACATGTCAGTAATATACCAATTAACCGTATATTTGCTGAAGACTTCAAGCAATCCATGTCATGCTAAAACCATGACAGCCTTGGCATGGTGCAGTGTCCCGCAAGCAGCCCGATCAACAAGAACGCCATCAGCCTCTAAGCGTCCGTCTTATCTGCATTGGCCTATTTGCATGCAAAAAATGTCAGATACCATCACAATAATCGTGCTCCGCATCGTCGTACGCCACGGGAGGCTGCGCAAGTACCGCCCGGTAAACTCGATGACAAGTTGGCCAAGCTCGGGAGAGCAACTATTTACGTGCCGCATTACTTTGCGTTTGACCGGCAGGAGGCGCTGCCAATGTACCTTGGCAACAACGATGGGTTCCAGATCAATTGATGGTTTTTGAGCTTCCGAGGGGTCTGAGTCCTGACAGCCACGGCTAATAGCCACGAGGGTCACGTTTGCTTTGACTACGAGGGAAATAGGCGTGTTATTTTGGCGGAAATTACGCGGATTTACTTGTATATTAACAACTAAGATTAGAATGTAGCTATATTTTTGCACTAATTATAAGAGCTAAAGAGTATTTGACCCTATTATTATTAAAGAATTTTTAATTTAGCTAAAGGATAAGACATAAAAACGCTAATAAGTATTTACTAAATTACTATAACTATTAAAATATTACATATCTCTTTAAATAAGTTTATACTTAATTATCTTAATATATATTAAAAGATATTAATATATATTAAAAGATATTAATATATATTAAAAGATATTAATATATATTAAAAGATATTAATATATATTAAAAGATATTAATATATATTAAAAGATATTAATATATTCAGTGATGTTGCCTCGACTATTTCACCGGTTAAAGGGCTATATAACGGAGCTAGCTTCGTTCCCTGGAGACGAATATGACTATTGTAAACTAAAGCTGGAGCATTATATAGACTAAGCACAGAAAGAGTATGTTAGCTATTCGACGTCTCGTGACTAGCAAAAAGAACAGTACTCACGCCACTTTGGTTGACTGTTCCAAGGTCTCAAGCCTCTTTTCGACCGTGTCAAGCCTCTTTTCGACCGCGTCAAGTCTCTTTTCGACCGCGTCAAGTCTCTTTTCGACCGCGTCAAGCCTCTTATCGACCGCGTCAAATCTCGTCTCCATGGTCTGTCGCAAGGCTCCCAGTTCAATAAGAATCCTATTGAGTATTGCCGCGTTCTGCACCACTTGAATATTGGGGCATAACTGCACCTCGCGGGCCAATGCATCGGCAGCGCGGGCAAAATTAGGTTGCTCCGACGTATTGTCCATCCTAGATAGTGGTGAAGTGCAGAAAAGTGACTAGTGTGTTGTCCCACACGAACGTGTAGCGCAGCCCCAGTACGGAGTAAATAAACAAGTAATCACCTGACAAGGATCTGTGTGCTGCGACGGAGGGTAGGCGGCACTTGGTTGTTCAATCCTCGTTGTTCGAGCCACTTCCCGGAGAAGAAAATTTCCAAAGTGGAAAAAAATAAATGCAGCAGCAAGTTCACTTTTTGATCACCCAACACGTCGACATTCTACTTAAGAACAACGGCCAATTACTCCTTCCTACGTTACAAGACCCACTAGAGGTGTCCTGCCCAATAAGGGTCTGATAGCTCTTATCACGTGTGACCAGTCACGTGTAAATAAGCGCATTCAACGTCGACAACGCATACAAGTTGACATGTTAAACCCTGCCTCGGCCTAGAAGCCTGTACCTAGACGAATTGTTGAGGTGACGCACATTGTGCCTTGCGGCGTGCCAGCAGCAAGGGGTTTCAATAGGGAGCACCGCAATCTGAGTTCGTCACGCTCAGCCGTGGATTCATCGCTCCAATTCCAAATCCGGATGCAGTAGCCGTGTTACCTCGCCATTTCTTGCTCTTCATCGAAGCCGGCCCGGGAGAACATATATATTCCGCTTCTACCCTGGACATTCGAAGCTATACATACATGACGACGATTTGTCCAACGTGTCGAACTGGAAAACGCTTAGACGCGCAACCCTTGTAGTCATACAAGACGTCATGTCAGGCCTTCACATGCACCGCGCTAAATGGCAGATATATGTGACGGGGTTTTCGCCCAACAGACAAACTTATAAATCTCCCTCCACTGTGAAGCAACAATAACTCAACTCAAAGCAAGCTAGTGTTCTACCATTCGATATTTTCCCACTCCTGTTAAATCATTCATGTCATAAAAACAGACACGGTGAGTATGGAAAGAAATACAAAGGACTCAATCAAGCCCACTTGGCGGCAGAAAGATCACCCAGAGTGGACTATTCATCACTGGGTTTACGACATCTTCGACATTCACCCGGTCGAACTTGACAAGGCCGTGCCCGTGCACCCAAAGACAGACAAGGTGTCATATCTAAACGACTGGTATCAGCGTCGTTGGATTCTCGCCCACGCCTTTATTCCCATCGCACTGCACCACCTATACGTCGTATGTACAGGCCATAATCTTACCGCCTGGCAGGCAGGACTTTGTACAGCGCCGCGTTCAATCTCAGCGCCATCCGCGAACTTCATCTATTGCGCGCATTGGGACACAGGGTCGGTTTCGTCGACGGTGATGTACACGGGCGCGATGGCGTGCCAGACGTCAGCGTCAGCAAAGTCCTCTACTCCCTAGTCCTCACATCATTCGTCAGACCAGCCTTCACCGTCTACATCAGCTATATCACTCGCAACCCACCGGCATCCATGGCGTTTCTCTGGCTTCCGTTCGAGGCGAGCTGCTACGGAATTCTTCTCGACTTCTTCTTTTACTGCTACCACCGGCTGATGCACGACGTTGAAGGGCGCTGGAAGTTCCATTGCACGCATCACCTGACCAAGCACCCTAACCCGCTGTTATCGCTGTACGCCGACACTAAGCAAGAGATTTTTGATATTGCTGGAGTCCCTCAATCACTCATTTCGCTATGAGGACAATAGGCCTTCCGATGGGGGTTCTACGAATGGTGGGTTTGCCAGAAAGGGCCTTCATGGACAGCTTGGCATCCGTTTACAGGTTAGCAAGGTAAGGATCCGGCAACTAATATCCCGCCTTAACCAGTGATTTACCGCTAAATAAAGATAACTACACACGGCGTGATATTACTTTATACGTGCCTGACATCTAAATATCTATTTTATTAAGAAAAGACCAGCTTAATAATTAACGGGTTAGTTTATCGCGGATAATAGAGAGATTATAAGACCCTATCCTAATATTATCTTGGTAATAAGCTTCTACGCTCTTGTGATCGCATCGTAATAGGTTACATAGGACTATAATAGGCGCATTACCCTACTATCATTAATAGTAAAAGAGCAGCCGTCTAGAAGACGAAAAATAATATGAGACACGTCATGGTATAGCGCATAGTTATCTTTCATGTCATTAATACTGTTACCTATCTCAACTTCTCTCTCTTAATCCTGCAAAAAGCTATTTTTTTGGCCATATATTGTGCAGTAGCTATTATTTACAGACACCATGGCTGCCACTACCGCAATCACTGTCGCAGCCGCTTTCGTTGTCACTGTTACTTTTAGCGGTATTTTCAGTATCTTTTTCACAGTCATCATCTACATCTCCTCTTTCCAGAATTTGCGCCGCCAGACCCACGGTATGGTTCATCATCTCCATGCAGTCAACGCGAAACAGCGAGTGATATAATTCTCGTCGTTAACGCGGGCCTATCTTAAGAGCTTTAAATATTAATAAATAAAGCGCTTCCACCTTAATTGATCCTACCACTTCATATTTAATAGCATGACACGTAAAAAGCGGTTTTAAAATACACCATTCCTTGAAATTATCAGCGAGCACCGAGACTAATAGGACGTGTATGTGAGAGTGGCCGCGGCTCGGTCAAACATGTGTCAACGAGGAACTACGTATTGGAAGCCCTCGCCAGGTCCCGACTGTCAAGTCCTCATTCCGCCGATAACGGCCCCAAACAGGCAGCCTTGGGGACGAAGTGATAATATACCGGCCGACTCGTATATTATAGTCGTGGCGTCGTTTCATCGTGCTTGGCACGTTACTGCTCTTGGCTCTCGCGCTGCATCCAGCTCGCCCCTAGCTTGTAAGAGAAGATACTCAGCCGCTTCCTGTGCGAAACACATCGTCATACTTGCGCATAAGGGTAGAGGGCCATTGTTCCGGAGGGCCATCACGGAGTGGCATAGGCAAAGCGTGTAAGAGATGTGGGGAGATGTGTAGGCAATATATGGGATACTAGGCTTGAAGCGTCGGCAGGGACATAAGCGTACTCGAGCAATAGCACTATTGTGGATAATAACTCCTACTGGCCTATATGTACGAAGCTGAGGTAACATTTAGACGGCTTATTTTCAACATGATTGACGAATTATCCCAGCTGAATTCTTGAAGTAGGCAGATGGACACTACCCTCCCTAATCCCAGGATAATTGCCATCTAAAAAGTTCTGCGAGTAGAAGTGATCTGTATCAATCTTGGCCTGCTCAGAATCGACAAGCCCTAGACTACCGCGCACTAGGTTAGGCGCCATTCCGTCGATAGTGTCGAGCGTGAAGCTATCCATCTCAAAGGGGTCTTCACGAATCATACGCCTACTACGTAGCGTCTCTAGTATCTGCAACTCATCTGCCGTAAGATGCTTCTCTATACCATCGAGTGTCTGAAATTCTTTCGCATCGTTATGTAAAGCTTTAGAGTCAAGGTTCCTGAGCTTGTCAAATAGTGCGTCTTTTTTTTCCGGCGGAACATAAGCAAAAGCCTTGAAGCAAAATTGGAGAATTTTGGAGATTTCGAATTTGGACACTTTGCCGGCAGTGTCGGCATCAACAGTACCTTGAATGACTAAGACGGAAAAAAAAAATTCAGTTAATGCAAGGACTGAATCCGGTGGATATGGTAGACTTGGGCACTTCATACTGGGTCTGAAAAGATCAAATGCCCTTTGGAATCCTTCCTCATCCATGTCCTGAATTATAGGCTCGTGTTGTGTGCGAATTTGCTTCGTAGCACTGCTGACGGCCAAGAAGAATCGAGTGTAGCTCTCGACTGTCTTCTTGGAGTGCCACGAGCCCGCCGCTGCTTCACTGCAGTCGCCGCGGATTGAGGCTGAAATGGTAGCTGCCGCCGAGAGACCGCCTGTTATGGCGAGGTGGACGCCCGAGGAGAATAAGGGGTCAATAAAGCTCCCGGCATCTCCGCAGACACGCGCATTCGGCAAGTGATACGTAGACGCGGTGTAGGACCAGTCCGAGGCCGATCTGACGTGAGGAATAAGCTCTGCCTCTGAGAGAAGTTCTCTTATTCTGGGAGCCATTTCAAGGCACTGCTTGTAGAAGTCCAAGGTTGAAGGACACCCTAGTTCCTGCTTCTTTTCAGTCGCCATTTTCTGGTCTAGGACAATGCCGACGGAGCGAGTGCCATCGTGTAGTGGCATGAACCAAGCCCAACCGCTGGCGTCTGTTTGTTCATTAGAAGCATGTAAAGAAATCCAGTCGTCAAAAAACTCACCGTCTAATGCCTCGAAATATGGTGAACCTTCCATGTGTGTCCCCGGACCATACACATTGTCACTCTTCCAATACGCCCATATAGCGGCATTCTTGAAATTATTGTTGAACTTGCGGTTCTTCAAATATTTCGTGCTCAAGATACCCTGCCTTCCGCTAGCATCAACAAGGTACTTGTAGGTAATTGATCCAGAAGTGCCATCTTGGCGCACCCATGTGGCAGACACGGGTTGGCCAAAGTTTAAGTCGTCATTATTCCTGTCGGGTTTCATTCCATCGACTACAGGCCCAAATTGAATCGCGTCCACCTTGGTTTCAGCAAAGATTTGAGCGCCACAGGTGCCGGCGTGCTTGAAAAGTAGGTCATCGAACTCGGATCGGATCAAGTTCCAGGCGTATCCATCAGGACCGCCTGCCTCAAGAAAGTCGGTGTCTTGGCAGATATTAGCTTGTTTGTGAAACGGATAGATATTAGCGATTCATGGACAAGCAGGAACAAAAGGAGACTTGCAGGCATCAGGCTGAGCTTGAGCGAGTCGAAAAACTGCACCGTTCTACGATAGGTATTGACTCGTTAATTCGAGATTCGGGAGGCAACATGAAGACTACACAGGTACCTTGTGGTAGAACCCATACGCATCAAAGGTGTCATAAAAGTCTATGAACTTGAAGAAGTGGCGCAGGGAAGGAAGCGTGCTTTCGCCAATATGATACCTTTACCAAGTGGAGTGAGCCGAAAGGAGGTATTCAATGCAAGATCAGGCTTCCTTGAAAGCACTGTCGTCACTAACCTGGGGAATTTGTCTGCCTCGAGTACCACTGTTTCGATACCCTCGCGAGCTAAAGCTGCTGCTGCATATGAACCGGCGGGGCCTCCTCCGATGACAAGAACCGTGCAGCTTGGCGGAACAGCCATGACAGGAGGACGAGAGGGTCGGTAGCGGTGTAGCTTTATAAATGACAAGTTGAGATGATGTCGGCCTTCCAAGAAACTTGACGCGGGTTGTTCAAACAATAATCAGGAAATGAAAAGGGGTTTGACAGAGCATTTATATCCAAGATGGTTTGACCACCGCTTCTAAAGACCTCTGACCATCAAACATCTCAAGGCTGTCTCGCATGCAACTCTTCTATGCCGCTTCCGTGAATCGAGGATCGGATCTTCGAACCCCGCACGGAGGCCGGAATATTCGACGATCTGTCTGACATAGCTTGCCTGGTGGTGGCTGACGTCACTGGTGAGGCAGACTTAATCCCAACATGCGACATATGTACTAGTCCATGCACCTTATATGCACTCGTACGGAGTAGGTATTCCCGCAATGTCTACGCATAGCTCCCGCCGCAGGATTATCAGGGAATCCCCCCATTATCTGCCGCGCCTGATCGCAATCAAGCACCAGCGGAAGCGGGGAAGGGGACTTGGAGCATACTTGCCGCATTCCTGAGTTGTATCTGTGCCGTTCTTGCATATCTCATGACGTGTTTTGTTGACGGGGACGCTAGGAGTCGGCTACTACTTCGTCGATCTGCAGCATGAAGCTCATTTTCACTAGTAAAAAGGTCAACAGCAACTCCACTCACAGTGGATATAGTTACAAGGCGCCTTGGTACTACGCGAATAACATTACAGATAGCTAGTGACGTTATGTTGCATTTTGGACAAGCATATAGTAGTGGATTCTACGCAAGAACCAGACACTAGGGCGTCCTACAAATACCAAAGGCCCAACTATAGTAATATTATTTTAGAAGAATTGCCAGCCTCCAATATGTATTTACGTCGGAACTGAGCTACGCGAAGAAACTAATAGCGCTGCTGGGAATTGAACCAAACCTCCTTATCACCCCGTATATCGCTTGGGCCTGGCCGTAAGCGCACCGTAGAAGGAACTATAGGCCCGTTGTCAACGATTAAGATGGGCGGCTTGCTGAATTTCTGGTACATCTCACGACAAATATCATCTTCGAGTCTAGCTCTGGGTTGTGCTTTGATAATGATAATAGTTCAAGATGTAGCAGAGTTGCCCGAATGAGGACGATAGCGCCTCAGTAGGTCAATTTATTAAAACGGAGTAGATGACCTTAAATCAGGAACGAGGGAAGCTAAAGGAGGCGAGAATTCTAACCAAAGCGCACGTAGTACAGCTTGTTATAGAGGTAAGTTTAGGAAACCAACAAAGCCTAATTTTCAGGCCTCTGCATGCGGGCAATATCAAGGCGTCTCATGGCATGCATAACTAATGGCTGGACTTGAGAAGGCGGTATGGGTGTGTTCAGAAGCAACATACATTGTTGCGCAAAGTAGCATTAGCCAGGGAGACCTGAGAGAGTGTATTAGTATGATTCGTTTTGTCCGAGAGAAATTATTGTAGTTAACGCTAATAAGTCCACTAGTTAGCGTTAACTACACTGCGTCTAGTTTCGTGTGGCCTTACAGACTCTCTTATTGCTTGTCACAATGTGGCCGTACTAACTAAGAAACGTTACACATTTAACTGCTTGCATAACTAGGTAGGGCATATATAGAGCATTGACAAAAAAACTACACTACATGTAGTTTTTTAGTGTAGTTTATAGTGTAGTATAGTTTTTATAGTTTTAGTGTAATTAAACTACACTATAATTACATTTATAGTGTAATATATAATTATAAAGGCAAATTTTAATTATAAATATAACGTTAATTATAAGACTTATAAGGTTATAATTA